GGTATTTGAAGAGTAAACACTCATACAAGGTCCTTTGGAACTTTAAACCCCTTTAGCCTTGTCCCACAACAACTTAAATGCAACCATTAGGACTTATAACACTTATACAAAGTGCTTACATGTTCTAGAGTGTCCTACACCTTACTGCTAGCTACAGCCGGACCTGCAGGTCTGCAGGTGCCAAACGTCATATCATTTTACGACCCACATTTGTCGTTGTTTATCCAATCGATAGTATGGTACAACAAATCACATGATACCTTAATATAAATTCGGTTTAAGGTAGTTAGTACAGCAGTAGTTCCTATAATACAACACTACAGTACTACAACAATTTACCCATTACATATACTTAGTGATTATTTCACTTAAACATTTATGTACAAACTATATTTTGTTAATGATAGTTACAATTGGGAAATTTCACATTTTTACAACAAACGAACATACAAAACAGTTAAGCCTTGGTAGAAGGCTACTTTAATAGAAAATATAGGTTTTTCTGAGGGATTCAAACGTTTACAAACAGTTACAAACATTTACATACATTTTACAAACTTACCCTTGAGACATGTTCAATCGTTTTGATAACAAAACCGACACTAAAATACTTATGAACTCACCAGCTTTATGCTGATAAACTCTTTCAAAATAACTGGTATTCTCAGGTCATCAGTAGATAGGTACCGAGGCCAGCTCTTGAGAAGATGGAGCACATTCAAGACTCATCTTATTATTTTGATTTACATTTTTGGTGTCTATAACTGTACAGAACACGCTTGTATTAAAATTATATATTTAATGCAATGGATGATGTTGTTTGCTTATTTACTGTTATACTGTGTTGTGATACTTTACATGACGTCCTCCACCCCAGAACGTTTCCGCCGTTCATGGTTTTGAGGTGTGACACTTCGTTAGCTTTCTACCATTAAATGAAGTGTATTTCTATCATTTAACTATCCAAGGACCTTTTATGAGGTTTTATTTTATTTTATTTTTTTAAAAGAAAGAAAATGAAATTTAATATCCAAGGTCTCTCTTTCTCTCGCTCTCTCTCTCTCTCTCTCTTTCTATCTATTTATCTTTCTCCCCTCCCCCTCTCTCTCTCTAAGTCACGACAACCTCCATATATGTTCTTTAACAATGAAATAGGTTGAAACTTCACCATTTCCCTAATCTGATGATCTAATTATCTTTAAAAAAGGAAATCATCACAACCTCCTTATAACCAAATCTAATCTATAGGCGAAAAACTATAAAAAGGAGCATGAAAGTAGAATGATGAACAAAAGAGAACAGAAAAAGAGGCTGAAGAAACAACACAAGAAGCGATTGGCAATTTCCACATTCACACACCTGTTAATGAGTGGAAATAGTTTTCTTTTGTGTTCGATCATACAAGTTATTGATTGTTATTAGTTGTGAAAAAATGGAAAATGAAATTGTTGACTCGTATGATTCGATTGGCGCTCAACGACGTGGATCTGGTCATATGGTGGTGATCGAGGGGCAACCACCATTAACACCTCAATCTCACTTGTCAAAGCCTCTTTCATGTCTGTCTGAGCATCTAATTCAAATCCCCTCTTGTCTTGGAAACTTACGAGTCGCGATGGGTATATAATACTCACACCAAAGTTGGCATTATGGTCCTTTGTTTTAAAACAAGCACTGACGCCTGGTAGCAGACCTTGATGGAGAAGACGAAGAAGGTGGGTTTCATTTTTAGAGGATTATGTGGTAGACAAAGCTTCAAAGGTTAGAGATCTCAATTGGGTAGATAGATTGTTGCATCTAGGAAGAAAGGAATTTAAGATGAGTTGGTGTGCAGGTGGAAGAGAGAGAGAGAGAGAGAGAGAGAGAGAGAGAGAGAGACCCCTTGGATATTAAAATTTCATTCCTTTAAAAAAATAAAATAACGAAAACCTCATAAAAGGTCATTGGATAGTTAAATGATGGAAATACCCTTCATTTATCGGTAGAAAGCAAACGTAATAAACAAAAATGACCAAACATCAAAAGTTTTGAAAAAAATAAAGACCATCTACGATGTTTTTAAACCACGAAGATTAAATTCTAGATCTGAAGAAAAACCACAATGATCATTTATGATGTTTTTTCAATATTTTTCCTTTTGTTTTGGAAAGAAAAGAGATAAAAGAACATTATATACTTACACAAAAAGAAAGAAAAAAAAACAGCAAAAAAAACAAAAGAGTGTAAAGTATTTGACTTTTATCTTGAGATGGGTTTTCTTAATACTGGTTAATTTTTTTTTTAACATTTAAAAAAATTTAACTTATTTAGTTCACAATACCACAAGATAAAAAAAAAATCGATCCCGAACACAGTCAGGTCTTTTTTATTAGTTACACATAAAAAATAACTATTCTGAAACGATTGTTTGGAATCCTACTCACGTATGCCAAGATATCTCCAAATGCACACAAAATGGTTAATTTAAAGGGATAATGACTTGAAAGGGTAGCGAACTTTCGAGTTTTGTCACATTTAGTCACTAAATTTTTTTTCAACAGCCGGTCATAGGGGTAAAATGTGAACAGTTTCAATAGTTCAATAGCAAATAGATAACGAAAAAAAGTTTAGTGACTAAATATGAACAAAATCGAAATTTCGTTTCCCTCTAAAAAGTTCAATGACTAAATGTGAACAAACTTCCTCTTGTATTATGTTTTACCAAATTATTTATTTTTGTTAAATTGTAGCAACATTTGTTGATGAAGAAATCTATGAAATAAAAAAAAAAGAAAAAAAAAAAAAAAAAACCATGAAAATATATTTTAAAAAAAACAAAAAACCAAAACCGAAATAAAAAACCAATGGTTTGACATTTTCCAAAATAAAAATCAAAATTTCCAATCTGATTTTGGTTTTACAAAAAAATGAACCATTCTCACTGATGTGAATTATGACCATTGATTTGGCATGCGAAATTTGTGACATCCCATGAATATGTAGTTACAACATCGTCTAAACTCGTAATTCATAGGAAGGGGTTAGAGTATCATCGCATGAATACGTAGTTATAACATCGCCTGAAATTGTAATTCATCACCTACAGGTTATGGGCATGTTGGTGTTTCCAATGGGTTGTCTAGAATAGTTCGTGGTCACCATCTATACTCTAGTAGATTACTACCTCACCACATTGCTGGTTAAGGTTATGGTATCTCCTTTCATTCTACATCACATATTCATCATCATCTATTTACCTAATTATCATCACCTTCCTATCATCACCTATCTCTCATCATTTTATTTCATCAGATTGTTGGTTAAGGTTATGCTTCCTAAGTTCGAACCCCAAGGTTTACTCTACTAAAGCTTCATATTCTCGGCTCTCTAGACCTAGAAGGGTCCAGATCTATCACACCAAAAAGCTCAAGATAGCTCTTCCTCTCACTCTACACACTCAAGCTCGCTAGGATTCTCACTTATGGGAAAGGTAGTCGCAATTGAAGGCCATAAGTGCCTTTAAATATGGCTTGGGCCCAAAGATTTAGGGTTTCTGCCAACAACGTGGACTCGTCGAGTCGCCTCACCGACTTGTCGAGTCCATTCATTAATCCGAGTCATCCGTCGCGACCTTACTCGACGAGTTGAGGCGTCAACTCGTCGAGTCTCTCTTCTTAACTCAAAAGAAAAATACTTAAATTATGATACCTGAAAATCCGGATGTTACATTTTGTTTTTTTATTTCATAGATTTCTTCATCAACAAATGTTGCTACAATCAAACAAAAATAAATAATTTAGTAAAACATAATACAATAGGAAGTTTGTTCACATTTAGTCATTGAACTTTTTAGAGGGAAACAAACTTTCGATTTTGTTCACATTTTTTTCGTTATCTATTTGCCACTAAACTATTGAAACTGTTCACATTTTACCCTTATGACCGGTGAACAGATTCAATAGTTCAATTGCAAATAGATAACGAAAAAAAGTTTAGTGACTAAATGTGACAAAAGTTGAAAGTTCGTTACCCTTTCAAATCATTATCCCTAATTTAAAAAGAAAAAATTATTTATTTTGTTTATTTTAAAATGTATTCGTCACGTTTAATATGATAAAGACCAAACCTTTTTATATTAAAAACAGTAGAAGAAAGAAATGGATTTCGATTTCCTCCTCAGCCCACCAAGGCTCCAAAAGCATCTGATCTCCGACTTCAGCCTGTTCGCAAAAGGCTACGACCGGTTACCATCGCTGAGTCTTCATTTTTTTCCCATCCACTTGAACCAGCGACCAGCACCTTTACTTCCCGACGAAACATTAGGGTGATATATTTTTCTTGGAGGTACGAGGGGGGTTCTCGGGCACGGCAAACGGGCTACCGGAAAGGGTTTACCGGCGGCTTATGTGGGGGTTCTCGAGCGAGAGATGATGAGATCAAACAAGGCGGCGTTATTCTTTTTTCTTTTTTGGAAACAGCAGGCGGCGTTTCGTCTTTTGACGAGCTAGAAGATAATGGCAGTTTATTTTATTTTTTTTAAAAAGAAAATACTGTAATCTTGTAAATAAGTTTAACATAAGCATTTCGTAAATATTTATTTAAAAGACAATATTTTGGTTAAAAAACTTGCCAGCTTACCCCACATTATTGTCTTCAACTCCATTCTTCGTCATGCCCTTCTCCTAATCTGCATATAATTAGTAGTGGGACGTTTGTAATTGTAAGTATCATTAGCAACGGAGAATGCACTTATATTATCTGATATTGGAATGAATCAAATTTCCCTTGTGGTAAAAAGACTTCAACAAATTCATCGACTGTAATAATTCACACAAATAAGATTTTTGAATAACAGAAATTCGATTTCCACCATTCTTTGTTGTTGAAACAAGAAAGTGATATATTGATTTGGAAGGTACAGAAAGCTGATAGTTATAAGACAATGATCGTATCTTGTTATGGATTTATATAGTTAAAGTTATATTTCCATTGATTTAGAACAAAAGAAACTATTTCGGAAGTTATGTTGGGTTGTTGCCTTGTCGGATTTCATCAAGCTTCTGTCGAATATCAGTAGTCTCTTCCTTCAATCGTTCATTCTCCTCGAGTGCCTTTTCGTGTCTCTCTGCTAACTGGTTCAAATGCTCCATGATACTCTGATTATCAGTTCTAAGATGGACAAGTTGTGACAAAAGCTCATCCAGTTGCTTTTGTTTCCTTATCCTAGATCTTCGAGCTGACTCCCTATTCGATATCATTCTTCTGCGTTTTCGCTCGCCTATGATATCGTTTTGTTGCGTGTCAGCTTCATCAGAGGTCGAGTTGTTGCTAACAGAGGAAGGAGGTTTTGAGAAGTAGTCGGGGATGTTGGTTAGGAAATTGCTCATATGGAGAACAGATATTGGATCTCGTATGGTGAAGTTGGTGGAGAAAGGGGGTGAGTACTCTTCAGGAGCCAAATACTGGAATTCTGATATTTGACGAATCATGTTTATAATATCTGATAGTAGATGTAGATCAGGATTCTAGATTCCAATTTCCAAAGGAGGTTTTTACTTTGTTGGTGATCAAGGTTGAGAAGATAGGAGAAAAAAGAGTGAGATATTGAATTTTATAGGCGAGGCGTGAGCTTGCTTACCAATGTTAAAAAAATGATAAAGATAATCATAATTAGCTTTGCACCAATGGGTCGTGTGGTTAAGATAAGTGACCTACATTAGAATGTCTGTACAATTTAAAAAAAAAAAAAAAAAAAAAAAAAAGGTCGTGCTATTTGGTCTCTACAATTAAAAAAAAAACATCTCTTATTTGGATCCTTTTTATTAATTACTTTAAATTTTTTCTTAAAATAAATTAATCATTACAAAATAACTATTTTTTTATTAATTATCATTACATAATATTAGACTACTCATGATTATTTTATTTTTTTATTTTAAATAAAACTAGTTATTACTAAATAAAAAGTTCAATATAAAGATTTGTTTATAGAAAAAAAATATCATTTTTTTAAAAAAAATATTAAAATAAAAATATATTTATTTTTTTCAAATCTATAAAATAAAATATTTTAAATAAAAAAATTAATTATTTTTTCTGTATTTAAATAAAATGGAAGAATCAGATTTTTGGTGTGTAGATTTTTATTTCTGATTGATATATGGTTGTGTACATACATAAAACAATGATCGCTATAGATAGATGTATCGTCACTACATTTTCTATTAATAATACTTAGTTTTCATTTAAATATTTAATATCTTATTTTTATTTCTTGGTATATAAAAATATGAAAAAATATAGAAAATATTAAAATATATAAAAAACTGTTGGCATGTTGTATTATTATTTAATTATCAAAGAATAAAAAATATATAATAAATAAAAATTTGATAGTAATTAAATGATAGGTACGAGTTTCAAAAGAAAAAAAAAACTTTAGTAATCATCAAGGTTACAAAAATCGCTCGACGTTAGCTAGTCGGTGGACTGCGGTCAAAGGATTAATCGGCTAGGCGGAGATTAATCGGGGGATTAATCGGGTACCATTAATTGCTAATTTGTTGAATTTTAGAAAAAAGAATATGACTAATATCATATCAAAGTTTGTAAATACCATTAATTTGATAACAAAATAGGTTATAATATGATTAATACAACACTAATCATGCCTCAAATAGTTTCCATTGAGATAAAATTTCTTCAAAATGTTAAAATTTCATCGTTTTATAATGTTTCACTCATTATGTATGCAATGATTAATCGCTGTGCGCCCTCTAATCGGTCGAGTAGCGCCTAAGGATTAATCGGAGATTAATTGGGACCTAGTCGGGATTTTTACAACAGTAGTAATCATACAATTTATTGATATTATAAATACACGGAAATTTATACCTAAAAAATCACTGAAAACATTGAAAACACGGAAAAAGGTGTAGGGGTATGAACTCACCAGACGAGAAATGTGCCAGTTAGGATGCTAAGTGTAAGTTCGCAGCTTGAATACACGCGAGGTTCCTATGTAATATGAAGAGATACATAATTGTATCTAATTAGACTTTAAACTACTAATTAGATATGAATATACACTCCGAGGCGCGAAAACACTTCAATTCAAGTGTTAGGAGTGATCTGGGTTGCATCTGAGGAGGTGTAAGGCCGAGATATGGAGTTTGCTCTTCAAGAGTAAACTCCTAAGGAAGATTACGACCCATAGACCATATCCCCATGAGTTTACGGTCGTAAAATCATGGGTGGTGTGTTCTTGGATACTTAATGGTCTTATAATACTTGTAGAGTTAGCCTAGGTTTAGTTCTAAGGCATTGGAAGGGATTAAACCATCAAAGGGACCAATTTAAGGAGTTTACGGCCGTAAACTCTCATATACCCTTTCGTTTTGTGTTTTGATGGTCCTAGGTTAAGTATAAGTGATTCTAGTCCAATGTACAAGCCATGGAAGGAAGTTAGGGCACCATTTGACAGCTTTATAGGAGTTTACAGCCCAGGAACCATTCCTTGGGGGGTTTACGGCCGTAATCTCCTAAGGAGGTGGTTTCTCTCATGTTTAAGGTCCCTAACAGAATGGAGGTTGGTTCTAGACATTATTCCAAGGCATAGGAGGTGTTTAAGGGGCATTTTAACACCTTAAATGGTGTTTACGGCCTTAGAAGGATTGTTTACGGTCCAAGCATGCTCTTGGGCCGTAAACTCATGTTTACTCCCCATATGTCAAGATTTTGGCGTTCTAAGTCCATTCATGTAAGCCCTAAGTCTTTGCTAAGCACTAGAAGTGATTTGGGAGGGTTTTGGGGCTCCAAAACCCCATTTAAGGATAAACAAGCTAAACTATCAGTTAGGAGATGTGACATCCCCAAAATCACGGACAGAAAAGACCGATTTTGTTTATGCTTTATAAAAATCAGAGTACTTCATTTTATAAAAAGGTTGCGGAATTTGTTCCCAGAAAAACATGGTAAATACGTTATTAAAACATTTTCGAAGAAACATATTTATTTCATTTTAAAACGTTTGGGATGTCATCGTTAATACAGGAACATAAGCATAAACAGAACTTATAATTATTCACACTAGTGGTCTACATCTCTTTAAATCTCTCAGTATAATGTCACTTCATATCAACACCTGTGATATAAATAAACTGAGTGGGTCAGGTTGGGAAACCTAGTGAGCACATAGGGATTTCAATCCCACAATGTTATACCATATATATAGTTTAAAATTCACAAAATATACAATTTCACCATACATATATATAAACAACTCTTATCCCACCCCGTCGATCCTCGCAACGAGGCTATCCATACTCTCGGACCTAAGATTAGTCGTTTTACCTACTCCATACTCTCGGATCAGAAATGAACGAATTTACCAAATCCATACTCTCGGACTAGGGACGAATGACTAATCCATACTCTCGGATTAAAGATGAATGATTATGCCTAATCCATACTCTCGGACTAGGGACAATAGCTAATCCATACTCTCGGATTAACGAATGATTATGCCTAATCCATATTCTCGGACTAGGGACAATGACTATGTCTAATCCATACTCCCGGATAAGTGACATATACTAACTTCTATTCTCTGAGTTTAACTCACTTGTACTCGTAAGAATATACTACCCAATATTCCTCATATTTAATTTAGGTCTACTCTTTATCCTAAATTATCAAATATAATCAGGTATGTTCTTTAACACGAATTTCAAGCAACATCAATTAACTCGCACATAAACATATAATTAATATTCAATCAATACTTGTATTAAAATCATGTTCATGAAAGGGACTATGCACTCACCTGAGAAGGTGGTGACTCGGTACTCGGACAGCGCTTCGTTTACTTTAAAATAATTTCCTTCGACGAAACCTAGTATTATCACCAATAGATTTTAGTCTATTATTCGCCGAGACTAATTAATAGTCTAGCTATTATTACTATTATATAAGCGTTAAAAAAATACTTATATAACCCATAATAATAGCCCAAGTATTTATTATATGTTCTTAATAACGTTAATATAATTAAATAAAAACTATATTAAAAATAGTGTAGGCGTAGCTCACTTACAGCGGGTTTTATAGAAAACCAGGCTTTGCTTGGAGCAGCGTTTCCGAGCCGAAAAGCTCTTCTTCTCGGAGCCGTCGAGCACTCCGGGGCTTCCGCCTCGTGCTAGGGAGGTTCCCTAGGCTTTTCGGGGGATTTCGGGGCTAGAGAGAGGTTCTAGAGAGAGAGTAAAGAGAAGAAAGAATGGGAAAGGTGTGAAGAAAATGAGGGTGGGAGAGGTGGTATTTATAGGGTGAAAATGGCTGAACTTGGTGCCACATGTCACCATCTAGTGGCAAGACTTGGGGAGAAAGCAATGGCCAAGATTGTGCCACATCACCCATTTTCGCACAACACACTTCCGACTTCTAAAATCCGTAACTTTCACATACGACCTCCGTTTTTGACGTTCTTTATATCCACGCGTAGGTAAAAATAATATCTACAACTTTCATTTTGACTCCGTCGGCTAATTCTCGACCGATCTTAAATTTAACAGTACGAGGCGTTTAGACTGTTAAATGACCGCGAAGAATTCGTAACTCCTTCATACGGACTCCGTTTTCGTCTGTCTTTTTACCGTTGAGTTCCTATTAATGAGATCTTCAACTCTCATTTATTTCACGTAAGCCAAAAACCGCTCGAACTAAAATTCGAGTTTCGGGCTGTACACTGCTAAGCCGAATCTTAGAAAAATCATAACTTCCTCATACGAAGTCAGATTTGGGCGTTCTTTTTATCGACGCTCTTAGTTTAACATATTCTACGACTTTTGTTTAGATTGCTAAGGCTAAAAAGTCTTCTATCGTAAATTCACTATTTACGTCTTCCGGTGCCGTGCCGGTTTTGCCGTAAAACTTCGGCGGGCCATAACTTCTTCGTTATAACTCGGATTTCGGCGTTCTTTATATGTACGGAAACCTTGTGACATATTCTAAAACTTGGTTAAGACTATTCATTCTAAATAATCTTTTGTTGAAAAGTCATTTTTGACCCCTATTGCCTCTAAATTGACTAGCCCGGATCTGCGGGCGTTACAATTATCTCCCCCTTAGGATGATTACGTCCCGGAATCATCAACGAAAAAAAGGATCGTATAATGACTCCATACGTCATCTCTTCATCCTAGGTAATAATTATAACTTCTTTATTCCTTCAAGTCTATCTCTTAGACTTATTGACTGTAAGCAGTACTTGATCGTGCACCTGCTCTCTACCTCATATTAGACTCCAAATTATGACCTATCATCATGTGATGTACGTTTAGACTCAGGTCTCTTAAATTCTAAAACAGACTAAGCCTTCCTTCATGTTCTAATGTGATATAATCATACTTTAACATGTAGCATTTCTAGCTACCAACGAGCGCGATACTTCTATTGATCGCTTTGATTTTTAATCGTTTGGTTTAAGTCGGAC